GGTATTACACAACGGGCTATAAGGAGATCTCGACTCCCACCTGTCGGTTGACAGCGATGAAGTGAGCCTCCGTTATGGAGAGCAAGGCAAGGGGTTCCATCAAGATGCTCAACGAAAATCCAATGATGAAGTCCTTTCGATTGGGCGGGCCCAGAAAGTGGTGAGAAGGTCGAGGGGTTGAGAGGTTGTCGGGATGAGGACGATTACGAAGAACAAGAGGGGAAGCTGGGCAAATGTGGACAGTGAGAAGTTGTGAGGGATGAGGGCGATTACGAAGAACGAGCGGAGGGACAGATCGTTAGGGATGAGGACGATTACGGAGAACAAGAGGACGAGGCTGAAGAGAACGATAGTGATACTATGGAGGAAGATATTATTCGGACTTGCTTGGTGGGCAAAGAGCGACAAACACAAACTATCTAAACACTTCACTCGCAATCTGGAGCATTCAAGTAAAACTTAATTCACTCTCGCAATAGCTTCTCCCATCTATGCCTTGATTCACCACCCGATGTTGCTTATTCCGTGTTTCTCGTGGTGACCATCCTTCCATGCTGCCTCCATCCGGGTGAAGGATGCGCCCGATGACGTTCGACTTGCTAATTGACTACAGTTTGGGCAAGACTTGTTAGTAAAACTCCTCAATGATATCTAGTTCAGTCGTCCAGGATGATGAGTCACGGTTCAAGGCATTCTGTGCTAACAAGTCACATCGAGATATCAGATAAGGCATAGCAAATCACTAAAGACGTTTGTTGTCGGGAACTGGTCCCACACCATTGCAGGACCATTATTCTTCATTAAACCGCCGCCAGGAAACTAAAAAACTATTTACTGGGCCCTGGTACTGGCCTTCAGCCGGGCGATGTCACCCCGACTTCTGCCGTCGTACTTGGCCGCGATGGCCTGGGCCGAGAAGGGATGGGAGGCTCCGCCCCTGACCATCTCCTCCTCCACGCGACGCCAGAAGCCGGGGGACCCAATGTCCATCATCCCGAGGGCCCTGGCCACGGCCTGCTTCATGATTACGACCTGTTGAGCCATGTTAGTTCAATGTCTTGAGATGAGGTAGAGGTAGGGGACTTACATCGCGGGCGGTCCAGCGCGGGGTGCGAGGACGATCGGAGGCGGGCTTCTTCATGCGGTCCCAGCCGCGGAGGGTGCTGAGGGAGGTGCTGAGCTCCCCGAGGTTCTTGATGTCGGCGTACGAGACATCGTGGAGGCGGAGGAGCCGCACGAAGGCTCGCTTCTCCTCTCGGCTGACGGGCAGCGGCATGAGTCTCTGGATGAGGGCGGGGGAGGTGATCTCATACTCGGCGAGCACCTCGAGGATCTTCTGTGCCCGGGCCTGAGCCGGCAAGACTCTGCTGAGGCCGCCCAGGGAGCCTCCCACTACAGCAGCAGGAGACTTCTGGGCCGCACCTGCAGCAGGAGACTTTCTGCTGGCCACCCACTCTCCCAGTGCAGCAGGAGACTTCCTAGCGGCGACCGCTGACACTCCCACTACAGCAGCAGGGGACTTTCCGTTGGCTCCCACCCAGTCTCCCACTGCAGCAGGAGACTTCCGGCTGGAGGAGACGGGAGAGGAAGACATTGCCTGTTGGTGGTGGTCGGAGGTGGAGGAGAGGGGAGGGGATGGCAACTGGGTGCTGTCGGAAGAATCTGTGCAAGGTTAGTCCTGGGGACTGAAGATACAAGTCAAAGTAGAAGCGAATAAAACATACAGGAGGAGCAGCAGGCGCAGCTGCTGTTTGAAGGGAGGCTTGAAGGTGGCAGACGCGGGAGGTAGTTGTGTGGAAAAAAGGGTAACGGCTCCGCTTTGATGGGAGCGGGCTGGTCTTTGGCAAGTTAGCAAAAGATCAAGTTGGAGTGAAGTGAGATGAAAGACTAGACATACCTTGGTAGAGACTGCGGTAGAAGTTGGGGGTGGAGAGGATGGGCGGAGGCAGATTCGGGGGCGGGTGGTGTAAAAAGCAGTCTTGTTCAAGTTAGATCAGGACTGTAAAGACCTGCAGGATGGAGAAGAGAAATCATACCTGGGCAGCTATAATCGCTGGAGAGACTTGATGGCGGTGGACTCGGGAGGAAGTTGTGTGTGAAGTTATCTTGTCCAAGTCAGCACATGCGATGCCAAGGCAAGATGGAGTAAGGGGAGGAAGCATACCTGAGTAGCCAAGGCTACTGGTCTGACTCGAGGTGAAGCTGGAAGTGCAGAGACAAGGCTCGGAAGAAAAAAAAGGCTGTTGGCACAGAGGCAGAGGCAGAGACTGAGACTGAGATGTGAAGTGATGAGGAGGAAGGAAAGAAGAGTAGAAGCCAGGCCAAGTTGTGGCATTAAATAGAGGAGCCAGAGGGCTCTCGTCCTCGAATTTGACCATTTCCATTGTTGCCATTGCTCTGGCAGTGCTCAATAGGAATTCAGACGTAATATATTGCTGCTATCGTCACAGGCAATAGCTCTCAGTGGAGTCACCAGCCACTCTGCGTTGCTAGTGGCCCCAGACAGATGCGAATTACGACGACAGGACCAATGAGGGAACTGAGAAGATGGACGACAATAGAGGGACAATAGCAGAATAGGCGAAGGCAGCAGTGCACGGGGTCAAGGGACAATAGTAGAAGCGAGAAAGGGAGCAGTGTACGATGGGTTATCGTTGCAGGAGAAGACTTGATAGATTCTCGAAAGTCAAAGGAGGGAGATGAGCTTCTGATATAGACAATCAGAGCAGTGCACAAGCTCAACAGTACCAAGGCAAGAACAGTATCACAAAGTCCCCCCCTGACCTAACGACACTGGAGGATGTAGAAGACCCAAAAGGGAAGAATACGTGCACCTAGACCTGCGAACTTGCCTCCACACGGGGAGCTTCACTGCCCCCCGAAGTATCTTGTAGGCCAGGCCCTGCGGTCCTGTGCATACATACATACATACATACATCGCTGGCAGGGGTGTGTCGAGCTGCAGCTGAGATCTGGGCCCTAGTGGGATCTTGGAGCTAGTGACGTCTGCAGGCGGGGACAGGGGTAGGTAGCCCTGGTACGTCGACCCGCTTGTGGTAGCGGGACTTTGCAGTGTTTGTAGTTGTCGTGATGTCAAGGGGAGGAGAGGGACTGGGAGAGGGGAGAGGGGAGATGTGGCGGTTTATGGGTATTGGATGTGAAGTGAGATGTGATCTGTTGCTTGATATGCTGCATGATGCATGCATAGTAAGATCTTGTAAATCTTGATAAAGGCTATGCACCATGGACGTCTAAAGACCGTAGCTTAGGTGGAGATGCTGGAGTATTCGTTCAAGGTACAACTGTCAGGCTGTGAGTAGAGCCAGATCACAGTATGGTACGGCCAGATGCCTCTTGACACTATGGATGTAATCTATCACTGCATAAATGACTTGTCACCAGCACAAAGGTTGAATCACAGGCACTGCAGAAGACGGAGGTAGTGACACTTGCAAGCTATCCGGAATGGCGGTGATCAAGTGAAAGACGTCTTGGGAGAGAAGTCAAGATATCAGAATACCGCCAGCTCAACTCCATGGTAGCACAGTAACAAAGTAGCACAAAGCCCAAAAACACCAAAAGTAATGATCACCAAGTCCCGTACCTAGATCTGTGGTGACATTGCTCAATGTAACGCTTTTAGGTGGTTTATGGAATAGGTTAGTGCTCACGCCGCAATCCAGGAACCAGAAAACACCAAACTTCTCCACCCAAACCGAATTTGGACAACTCTCGTAGCAGACGCAGACGCAGTAGCTTCATCTTGTATGGGAACACCAATGCAGACACTTCGCAAGAGAAGCATCATTCCACCATCAACGACCTTATTAGCTCTTGATCCTGCTTTGTAACTATCCGCACGCGTACCTGCAGGCAGCCTGTCCGGTCGATTTCGCAAGTGAAAATCAAACAAGTCAGTCACTCTGCGACTTGCGGTACCCAGCATAACACTTGAGCATCCAGACCACCGGGAATCATATTCCGCTATGCAAAGTACTCACAATCTTGACGTCTTGACCAGTATATCCTCTTATCATAGTATGCATCTGCTAACTTCTTTGTTGAGGACACCCCCGTCGAGCTTTGCTCAAGCAAACGAACGAACGAACGAACAACCCACTTCGAAACCCGTTTTCCGCTCCCGTCAGCTGTCTCCTCCTCCTCCTCCTCCTCCCTCTCATTTCTTCTTCTTTCGCCTTGGAAAAAAAGTTCTCATCGTTTGAGATACAAGGGAAAAGAAACGTTTCTTCTTTTCGAAACTACCAAAGGCCGCTTTTCCTCGTCAGGACGGAACTGCATACCAGCTACCCAGACTTGTGTGGTTTCACGGCATTTGTCATGTAGCCGCGTGGAAACCCGCGTGGGAGGCGTCAAGGATGGGCGGTGTAGTAGAGGAGTGTCAGAAAGAGAAGTGAGACAGAAACGGTCGTGGGGGGAGGG